AAAAAATGCTGGCTAAGGTCCAGTGAATATGTTCAAAAGTTTTTCAGAGGTAAATTGTACATTGAATCAGCTTTACCCTTGCCAGGAAAAACAGAAGGTAGTGAAAATTATACGTCTTCCCTGTTTGACTGCTTGATGGTAGATTAGATATAAACAAAGAGTTCTTTTCATAGGATAATTATTAACTCCTAGGAGGAAAAAAGATTATACAATTATATTACTATTGTATATTCACTGGAACTGATTTTGCCATTGTCTTGAATTTTACTTAGTCATTTACACCAAAGAAAAATTAATGAAAAACAGTATCAAATCGGCATCATCACATTGTATACAGTTTGCACTGGCATAAGTTAATTTGCACTGATTTTGCTGAAGGTGAAAAAAACCACATCAACTCCACTTTCTGCTTCCTTTCTCCTAACTTTGATTCAGCCCTGTTGTTTGTGCTGAACAGTCTTCTGAGTTACACCAGTGTAAACATTTCAACCTAACTCAGAGGAGATATGCCAGTGCAAATGAAAACAGCGTCAGGACCACACTCGTAAATGACTCTTGCAAGTTTTACAAAGATCTCCTTAAAGAAGTATCAAAATTTTTGCCAATCTTTACTGTATTATGGAAATAAAAATGCTAAATCAAAAAGATTGATATAGAAAGTCTTTGCATATATGTTTACTTTGTTCCCTTCTAGCTAATATGCAAGTGGTACATGTTTATTATAAATGGATTATGCTGATGATGATCCCTGTTTGTAAGGCTTGTTATTAATAATATTGTAACTACAGGACCAAAACATATCATTCAATTGCTGTTTTGAGAGCAGATTGTGCTGAGATTTACAATGATGGACATAAGGAAAGTGGATTTTACAAGATGAAACCTCTTCAGAGTCCTAGTGAATTCCTTGCCTACTGTGACATGTCAGAAGGTGGAGGCTGGACTGTTTTTCAGAGACGTTCTGATGGCAGCCAGAACTTCGATAGGTAGGAGTTGGAGCAAGGAGTTAACATTAAAAATGAAGCACAAGCACCTGGAATTAGGAGGGACCAAGTTAAATATTAACTTTAAAAATATGTCTGTAAATATGTATTGCAAATGAAAAATGAATAAGCAAAGCCACCAAACTGAGCCTCTGTAAGTACGTACACCTACCTGGCATAATGTAGTGCTTTACAGAACTCCCTGCATGGGCTCCATTAAAACTGGCAGCTTGCTACACTGGGTAGTTTATTTTTTACAGCAGTATTTGTGGTAATTTAGATATTTGTGGCATAACATGGTTCTGTTATGTGCAATCAGGATTATTCCAGTTTTAAGCACTGGTATTTCATTTTTCATACTTTCTGCTCTGTGTAAACATCAAACTAATGCATCTTCTAAAAAACTCTGAGAGGCAGATAGGTATTAGGGAAGCTTGGAAAAATATCTCCCCTTCCCAACCCCCCTTGGAAAAATTAAACTTCTTAATGAAAAATCAAAAACCAAAACATTAGTCAGGTAGGTTCAGTGACACTAACTCAGTGCAGGAAAGTCAAAATTGAAAATCAGTAGCCCAAGATCCTGTTTCCTAGCCCTGAGCTCCTTCATACAGCATAGTTTTATAATCCATGCACAATGAACTTAAGTGATCGTAGTTGTACCCTGTGGCCGCATCTACACATGTAGCAGACTGTGTAGTTGTTACTTCACAGTACCATTGCTGCACTTGTTTTTTCTGACGCTACTGCACAGTAGCAATGAGCTACTGCGCAGTAGCTTGTTACTACTGCATAGTAGCATCACCACATGGTTAGTGCCTGGCAACACTACTGCATGGTAGCAATGAGCTATGGTGCACTAGTTTGTTGCTACTGTGCCATAGCATCTCATGTAGATGCACCCAGTGGGGTGTATTATTTTCCTGGTAAGCTTTGAAGCTACACTGCCCAAAGTAAAGATCTTTAAACATTTAAATGTCTCTGAACATTTTACTCCCTATTTATAATTCCTTTTGTTTAAACCACACCTTGCATCGCCCATGACATATATATAGTACCTATTTGGTTCTCCTTCTTAAAAATCTAGTAACACTTACTGCTAGACAGCTCTAAAGCCACCAGTAAGCCATACCTTAATGAGCAAAAGCAGTTTGCAAAATCATAATAGCTATATCTGCAGGAGTTGTTTAACCTATTTAGTAAAATCATAGAAAGCCTACTATTTGTGATGAACTAGTGTGGGAGATGTACTCTTGAGTCACTTATGAAATGTTTCTTCATGGAATAATTTATTAATTTGCAAAGTCTGCGTGTTGGAATTTAGGTAAATCATGGGGTACAGGAAGTTAGACTAGATGGTCAAAAAACTTTTTTAAGTTCAAAAGCTATTAATCATGCCTTTTTTTGGCTGTCCTCATGAAATCTAATCTTAACTCAGGGCTACAGTCAGCAGTAATTCCATTTAAGTCAAGAGAAAGCAGAAGAAACTCCATGTAGGTAACAGGGGGGCATCGACATG